CTAGTGTCCCATTCATGCGCTTTTCTTACTCCCAATGTTAACAAATAACTAATCTGGCTGGTTTAGACCTAAGGAAAAAAAAAAAAAATCACTTCCTCTAAGATTCAGTTGAAATTTGAAGAAAACAGTCAGAAAAACATCATAAACTTTCTAAGAACAAACGCCAATGAAAAACACCAGCAACACATTTTCAAAATATTTTAATCACCATATACTGAATATGTGGGGGGTTTTGTGTCCCAGAACTCATTCCTAGACTGGAGAGAGGAAGGGGATATGAAAAGGATACCGGCTCTAAATTGTAAGCAGGCACTGCAACAGGATGCCCAGCAGCAAGGGCAAGAGGTACTAATCTGATGTGCAATGAGACATGCCTGAGTCTTCATAAACAGGAAGGGAGAAAGAACAGTTAAATTTATCTCCAGTGTACACCACTGCCCATCTAGAACACCACAGAACAATTTTATTGGTTCAGAGCAGTGTAAAAAACATATTAAGAAAGGAAGCAAATCCTACAGTTAAAATGAATATCTCAACAGATGATTCAGTTGTAATCCATTTGTTCCACAAATGCACCTCAATCTAGCCCGTGTTTGAGAAACTTAATCCTGATCCACACACGATTCAACTGCAGTGTGTCATGCAAAAAGCCATCCAGTGCTAATGAGTTATTTTTCTGTAACTTTAAATATTTATGAGTCATTTTTGTGCTCAAAAAAAGTCACATTGATGGAACTAGTTTAAGCCAGGCACTGAGGGAGAAGGTGGTGTGCAATTTACCCATTCCACAGCTACCAACATATGTCCAAAATAATATATATTACAGGTTGCTATTAACACCTAATGATACTTTGCAATTTTGTAATTTTCTCTCAAAGGGATTAAAAGCTTTTCTCAAATACTAAAGATTAGTGCTGAAAAATATTCTTATGATGAGAAAACAAAGAGAAGCTAAGTTATGGTGTACAGCAAAGACAGACACATACTAATGTCAAAGCAGTTTGGTATGGCTCCAAAAGCCCTCTGAAGATAGAGGCTGAATTGATAGCTTAGAAGTGACAATTTACAGATTGTTCCTAAAGTCATGCACCACACACATAAACATGACATCTGCCTGCTCATTTTGTTCCCAGGTAGCAGTGATTCCCTTTAGCCTATTCTTAGTTTACCTCCTGAATATCAGTTAAGTTTAAAGCAAGACCTACTACAGCCCACATCTTTGCCTCAAATTTAAAATCATTCATGGCTGATAAAGGCCAAATATCCCAGTGATTGTATCATTACTTTAATATTACATCCTCAAAGGGAACCAGAGCCCTAAGTTCCAATTTGCACTTTAATATCTGTTCTCTGACCTATTTATTTTGTCATTTTTTTAAATCTTTACACAGACAAGAGATAAAAACCAGCAAATGGCTTACTGTGAACAAAGGATATGAAAAAAACAGTGTACAACTTCAACAATGCGAATTAAGTTGTACAGTAAACATGATACCAAAGCAGCTCTTAAAATTTCGTTCTAAGCAAAAATGACACAGATTTCTGATATAGCAGAAACACTGACTATGGAGCTAATGCTAATGCACGAATTTGATGCAGATGTCTCTTAGAGGCTTTACCTCCAAGGATTTAAGAAGGGGCACAGACTCAATAAATAATTCATACGTCTTCCTCTTCTTTGCGTTGTTTTTCAATATAATTCTTCTGAATGTCACGCGATCCTGCAAGAAACAGCAGAGAATTACATTATTCCTCTTGACTAAAATGCTGTCTGTTTAAAGAACTGATGAACATGAACTAGTATTTGCAACAAACACTGGGTTTGAGAAGCCAGCTGTTAAAATGATACCATATCCATCGCAATGGTGATCGTAACAGCTCTTGTGAGAGTACTTGTTGCAATACCAAATTGAAAAAGAGGGAGCTGTAAGACCTGGTCCTTCTCAGATAAGCATTTAAGAATTCCATTTTTAGTCTATCTCATACTGGTTTTCAGGGATGAGCTTTTGGGATTTGTTTGGCTGTTTGTTAATACATCTTTCATGTTTCCACCTACAAGGAAGAAGTTATGGTCTTCTTGCTGAAGCCACTGGAAATTGGAATTTCCAGCCCTTATTTGTAAAGGCAACTGCAGGATTAAGTCTGAATTGGATTCTTCTCTACTTGATTCACTGTCCTGGTTTTGGCTGGGATAGAGTTAATTTTCTTCCTAGTAGCAGGCATAGTGCTGTGTTTTGGATTTAGGATGAGAAGAATGTTGGTAACACACTGATGTTTTAGTTGTTGCTAAGTAGTGCTGACACTAGTCAAGGACTTTTCAGCTTCCCATGCTCTGCCAGGTGCACAAGAAACTGGGAGGGGGCACAGCCAGGACAGCTGACCTCCACTGCCCAAAGGGCTATTCCATACCATATGGCGTCATGCTCAGTATAGAAACTGGGGGGGGTTGGCCGGGGAGCCGCGATCGCTGCTCGGGAACTGTCTGGGTATCGGTCGGCAGGTGGTGAGCAATTGCATTGTGCATCACTTGCTTTGTATATTATTATTACTGTATTATTATATTGTTATTATTACTATCTTTATTTTGTTTCAATTATTAAACTGTTCTTATCTCGACCCAGGAGTTTTTCTCACTCTCCGATGCTCGATGATCTTTCAAGGTCCCTTCTAACCCAAAGCATTCTATGATTCTATGATTCTCTCCCCCATCCCATCAGGGTAGGGGGAGTGAGCGAGCGGCTGCGTGGTGCTTAGTTGCCGGCTGGGGCTAACCCAGATTTCAGAAGTAAGCTGGAGATTCACACTGGTTTCCAAGAGATCAGGAACAGAGCATCAAACAGCAACAGGCTCCATTCACTC